ATCCTAAAGTGTAGAAATAATATTCAATGTTCAAATTCACACTATATTTTTAATTAAATCACCTTCACTGGCCGGAAACCACCACTTCAACAAACTCAAAGTGGCCCAAGGGCCACCAGTTGATAATCACTGTTGTGTTTCTGGCTCTGTTGCTTGTAAAGTTTGCAGAACCTGGTCTGGACAAACTTTAACACCAGAAAAACAGTTTGAGGGATGTTTACTCACCAAACACCTGAAGACGAACTCCGTCGCAGAACCGAGCCGAGCAGCTGCAGCCCAGGTGAAGCAAATCAGTTGAAATTAGTTTTTTAACAACKTTCTTTTATATATTTTAATTTCTATTTTTTGGGGGAAAAAACTGTTAAATAGACAAATTAAATAAAAAATCCGCCACATGAATTATTTCCACCTGTTGAAGCTCGAGAGAATCTGAAAAAACAAAGGACACGCCCACTGGGCTACAGTGATTGGTTAGTGAAACTGTCAATCAGAGGAAACCAAACGCTTCCAAAACCAAAAACACCTGCTTGGTTAAATAAAGGTTTATTTGTTTGTTTGTTTGTTTGTTTTATTTTTTATTCAACAAAGGAAACTAAATAGGTTTTGCAGCTATAAATGCTTATTTTGTATTTATTCAATAAAAACGTATAAAGTTTTTTATTGCAGAATAGAACAACCTGATAATTACATCCATTAAATTAAAKCATTAATAAACTCGTCCTGACAGTTCGCTCCTTTCAAAACATTTCGACTCAAAAATATTCACCTGTTTAAGCAGTAGGTGGAGCTATAATTAAAAAAAGCTGTTGCACATTCATGATTTGTTTCCTTTCAGTAACTTTTGTGCCTTTTTTTATTACATGAAAGTAATTTATGTTCAAACTAAAACCAGAACCTTCTGAGTGAGACTGTTTAAAATAGAAAAACATCTGTCTGATTGGAAGGAAAATATAAAGAAACAGGTTCAGAACTTTTACACAGGTCATAATCATGGGTCAGRTTTTATTTTTTMMWWTTTWWTTRKAAWWAWTWAAAAAATAAAATCTTGTTTTWAWATGAGGTGATTTGRCAGCTCATCACTCGTCACCCTGAATCTGAATTCACTGAATTTCCTGCCCAACGTTTTTGTGCATCTTTATGTTTTATTGTTGGTTTTGGGAGCAGCTGTTGTATCGATTGTTCTAAGTGTGCTCAATAACATTTAAGTAAAAAGTGTGAACAACACAGGACTTGGTGCAGTTTAATTGTCGAATTCCACTCACTTATGAGACTTTAAAGGTCTGAACTGGATCAGSTTTACGGTTCTGCTGGGTTCTGATGAAGCCTGCTGTAGCTTTGACCCCTGCAGGTGAATAAATGTTTGCAGACGTGAGGAAACCTGCATGTTCTCTCTTCCAGCTCGTCGAGTCGCGCAAACAAACACGTAACAAATTAATTAAGTAAAGCTTCGTTTGCATTTCCAATTAAAGCTCTGCCCCCAAAAGCTTCCGAGCATCCCCCCACCTACAGGAAGAGGGCAGAAGGTAAATGAAAGCACTCAGGAGAATCCCTGCTGGGATTGAACTTCAGAGGGGGAGGTTGGCTTTGATAATAAAAACAGCAATCTCATGTACAAATAAAAAAACACACACCGAGGTGCTCGGAGGAAGATTGGGGTGAGCGGGAGTGGAYGAGGAGGAGGCCAATTACCTGCAGAGCAGAAACACTCTGCAGCCACCAGTGTGAAACTGTGTGGAAGTACAGCTGAATACCTGAATGAGATGCYACTAAATCAACAGCAAACAGGGACTCTGACATTTCACAGGAAGCTGCAGGAAAACGGGCCGAGAGGGAAGTTCTGTTCTGAGTTTCCCCTGCAGCTTTTAAAGCTTTTATTCCTGCTTTAAATATAAAACRGTGCAGCTCAAACATTAACTTTAACTGGATCTTAAAGCTTTGTWGCTTCTAAAAACTGACTGTTTTTGGCTCTCAGGTAATTTAGAGATTTGTTTTTGGGGACAGCTGTTTGAGCCACTTTACTTCAGATGGCTTTTCACCATTTTAAACCTGTACTTGATAAAAACAGACAATGTTGCAGCAGTTGATCCGACCCCTACACAACTCTGAGATAAACAAAAAGATGGAGAAACTCCTCAGAGAAGCTGCAGCTCTCAGTAAAAACCTGACAGGGTTCTTTAAAAACAACAACTTAGTTTGTCTTTCTCAGATGAACATAAAGGCTTTATTTTCTTTGTGAGATTTAGAAAAATTAAAAAAAGAGTCACAAAAACAATAAACATCTGCAGAAAATGACAAAGGAAGCAACAAATGAATTGAAACGATAAAAAAAGTAGAAAACAGGAAACAAAAAGGAAATCAAATAAACAATCAGAATGTTTTTGGCACCAAACAAGATTGTCGATATGATGATTTACATCAAATTATAAATGACAAACAAAAAGAAAAAAAAAAACAAGGCAAGTTTATCAGTTTAAAGAAAAGAACAATTTTAGAACCAAATAACTCAAATAAACCAGAATCTAATCGCTCACTTTCATAGATTCAGATGAGTTTTTGCAGTTTGATAATAAAAAGTATTAAATATCCTGTTTGTTTTTATTATTTCAGARGCTTCATTTCACTGAGGAAAAAAAAAAACGATAAAAAGCTGCAGCTCAAACACTGAAAATTGTTTCTGACGAGAAGACGACAGCAGGTTCAGACTCCTCGACCCAAACCTTCACAAATCTCTGAACGTTTCTCAGACCACACTCAGGATTTCTCTGCTGCACCTTTGAAATAAGGCTGAACGTAAAAACAAAGAATCTCTTCGGTTTTAGCTTTAACAAAAGGCTGAAAACAAGTTCCCAGAATTTTAGAATGTAAACAATAATCACCTGAAAACAACATGTTGGACTTTGTTAGACTCACTTCTCCATGTTTTACTGAGAAATTCAGCAGAACTTAACTTCTCTAAAGACCCTGTCACTCTTTAATGTTTTAGACAACTTATGAAAYTAAAACGTCCACTAGATTTTTAATAAAAGTTAGATTTTGGATCAGTTTGTTACATGCCTAAAAGAGGCTTGTAGTTGATTTTTTTAAATTCCATCTTCAAGGRGGYTAAGTTGGCATAAGTTTTCTAAAACATCAGAGTGACACTGAAGCATTGCTTTGTGAGAAATATAAAGTGCATCATTTGAAACAAACAAAAATAATTTAAATAGAGATTAGTCATCCTCACTGCCTAAACAACCTCTAAACTAAACCGTCTTTCTGTGAATAAATGTTCTGATCAGAAATGTGACATTTAGGAGCCACAGCAGCATCTTTTTTAACCAGAAAGTGTCAGATAATAATTTACAAATCAGATTACAAATAAACTTTTTTTTTACTCCTAATGACTGTGAGCACCAAGGCGACCACCGTCCCCTCACCAGTAACTAAAACTCAAACAGTTGGGTTGTTCTTTAGCGGAGCTGCCTTTCAGGAATGATGCAGGAAACGAGTGAAAAAGAAATCCTTAATGAGGTCAGGAAGGTTGAATTGCTCGTCTTCCTCACAGACTGCAGATCAGGAGCTTCCCGTCGGGTTCTGGACTGAGTGACAGATCTGTTAAAGGCCGCCGGGAGACGTGAAGACGCCGCWCCGGGTGTAGAAGTACAGGCGTGCAGTTTGTGCCGACAAACAGAGCGCTGTCAGCGGGTACATCGGAGCAGAGCTTCATCGCTCATGAGGACGAGGACATCGCCGGCTGASGGATGGAGACACGTCAGACACTAAGACTGATCGTCCCCGACGCGTTGATCTTTTCCTTGTTCTGGTCTCATTAAGGAGCCACGGCACAGAACAAGAGTCGGGTGTGACTGTTTGTCTCGTTCTCSCTTTAATATAGTTTTACTGGAAAATTAACTGTGGATTTCCCAAAAAAATAAAACGTTCYTTATTTTAGTTGTTGGCATTTTAAGGGGACATTTTAGACCTAGTGAAGTGTGTGAACATCTAGTATCTTACCTGTTGTAGATAGCTCTTTGAACAACCTCTGAAGAAAAAAAAACTTAATTTTGTTTTAAGAAGGCAGCAAATTTTGGRCTTTTAACTAGCTAGCCGTTAGCTTGTTAGCTCTGTTAAACTATATTCCATCCAAACTGATTCTGTTCAAAGAGTTATCTACTTTACCACAGAACCTTAACCAAAAGATCTGAATTGTTCCTTTAATGTTAAAAGTAACAGRACATTCCTGCAACCCTATAGTTTTRCAACAGTAAACATAAAAAAGCATCTGTTACACAGAAATCTGATAAGTGAGAGGTAGTGGGATTAAACTTCTCTAAATCACTTCCTGTTTGGATGTTTCTGTTTGTTTTCCAAGATGTTTTAGTGTGAAATCATTTACAAACCTCAGACTGTCGAAATATTGTTTTTAATAATAAATTCCCTTTTCAATCTAGCCATCCTGGCCTCAGTCTTTCATCATAAACTGTTGGTCCCTTTCAACGAATGTGATAAATTATTCTTAGGTGACAATTAAATCAAGCGACAAATGTTTGGTAAAAAGAAGGCACACAGTTCGTAGAGCAGCAGTAAGGCCTRGGAGAAAACAAAAACTGGCCGCTGGGTTCCAGACTTTCACAGAAGTTATTTTTTAGTGTCGGTCAGGATGATGTTTGCTGTGACGAACATGAGGCAGAACACGGCCCAGATTATTACGAACCACACCCAGAAGGCYTGGTGGAAGGGGGACTGGTGTCTGTTGACGGCGTCTCTGCCCATGACGGGCTCCAGGTGGCGCCTGGCGAAGAACACGAGGAAGGCCGGGACGATGTACTGGATCCCCGTTCCGGCGTAGGCCCCCGTGATCCCCACCAGGGACTCCAGGTTGTGGGTGCAGAAGGCCACCACGATCGGGGGCACCAGGGTGATGAGCGGAAACACYACTCGGTCCACCACCCAGGGGTACGTGCCCCCGTCCCGGTGGAACAGCGTCTTCCAGTTGTTGCGCAGCGTCACGGCGATGATGGGGAAGTTGGTGCTGATGGTGAAGACGGGGAAGAGGCCCAGGAAGTAGCGCAGCGCGGGAATGTTCAGCACGTCGCAGTTGTCCGTGAAGTTCAGCGTGTACATGTCGTACAGCAGCGCCGTGTCGAAGCAGAAGATGGCGGTGAAGGACAGGAGCGTGTAGAAGCCCAGGATCAGGACATAGTCCGCCAGCACCAAGGCGCTGACCCGCTTCTTGTCCGAGATGGGCGTCACCAGGGAGGGCAGCGAGTGTTGGCACATGAAGGAGTAGACGCACACCCCGAACAGGTTGGGGACTCCTGAGAGGTTGGCAATGGGCGGGCGGCCTTCGCCGGTGCCTTTACCGATGCGGATCAGAGCCAAGATGATCATCATGATGAACGCTGAAACAAAAGAAAAAGAAAATAATTGTGATCAAACACTCCAGTTTGGTAAATGGTAAATCCAGAGGCATGCTTTGCAGGTTGGCTGGTTCCCATTAAAATCTGGTCTTTAAAATAAAAACTGTGACATAATAAATCAGGTCACAGACAGAAGCATTGGTGTGTTGGCTCCTCCTGATCCTCTATTCACATCTCGAATAGAATAGAATAGAATAGAATAGAATAGAATAGAATAGAATAGAATAGAATAGAATAGAAT